GCATCCAGCCGCCGTTTCCTTGGGAACGCCGCGCGCTTCCGTGTTTAGCTTCCTTAATCATTCGGATAAACGCGGGCTACGTCATGGCCGCCGGCCAGCGGCTTAAACAGGCTGGACCGCGGAGATTATTTTTAAACAAAGGCTGTTCTTCCAAGAGCCGCGGCGCCGCTGCAGGCACAGTCTCTGTGTGAACAAGATATTCACATACACTGTACGCTTCGTTTTCCTATAGCCGGGGTTCCGCTATGGTGCAGGAAATGTACTGCGGAAAACCGAATACTTAAATAAACGGTGTCTATTGGTTAGGGTTCATTTTAAAAATGCATTATAATAATGTAATAAGTAGTCACATTTCTGTTTTAAGAAAATGTGTGTTACAGGGGCCCCCCAAAGGTTTGGGGGCCCTCTTTTGGCCGCAAACAGTAACCCAACCCTGTTAGACATAAAACACAAACATACTATTCAGACTGTAATGTTCAGAGTTTTGAAATTATGTTGATGCATAACTAGCGCAGACTAATTAAAGATCCTCAATTTACGGCAGTGAACCGTTGGCACTGTACAGTCTCCGATGCTGAATCTGCGTTTGCCCGCCTGCCTACGTCAGCAGAGGTGGAGGAGTGAGATTTAGCCAGATGCAGCCTCACCTTCCACCCGCCGCATGGGCAGAGACACCACGTCGCCCGATCGGTGCTGATGGGGGGGCTTTGGCTGGCTGACGTCATGGAAACCGGCACCACTGGAATCAGTAATGTTAAAAAAGCTAAATGCAGTGTCTACCTGCATGCTTGGTCTTTTAGTTTAAACGTGCATCAAAAGCGCACTGCTTGGAGAGAAAAGCAGTGAATTCTGAATCTGCCACAGTCACATGTCTCCTTTTTGATAGCAAACTGCAGTTATTGTAACCAGGTAAACATCTTCCAGGTTTATGACTTGGTCCTTATCCCATGAGGTCAGTGTTTGTGACACACCGAGATGTAATGTTGTGATAATGCGCTATACAAAAATAAATTTGTTGTTGTTGTTGTTGTAATTTGTTTTGATAGAAGGCACATATTGAACATTAGGGTAGAGTAGACGGCACACCAAAGTACTGTGGCTGATGGCACGGCCGATGTTTCCAGAGAGAATCCTCAGTCTTTGGGCTGGAGACGTTCACCAGGTAACTGCTTACATGTTTGGCTGCCTTCTGCTGGGTATTTCGGCACAGAAATCAGTCAGCGTGTTTATTCTTTCGGTTTTTGTGGCACAGTACAATGAACAATTATTTTTGCATCAAAAGTGTCTGGCCACTTGCCAAGCGTTTGTTTAGAATTTAATCAGCCAAGGGAATAGCTGACGTTTTTGGCGTATTGCTACAGAAACGCTGTAGAGGTATCTTAAAGCAAACAAATAAGCGGCGAGACCTTGCACAAGATCAGTCGTTCAGACCAAAAAACACCGGAATTAAATTGTGAGAGACGTAATGGCAGCGCTTGAGTATCTCCTGCTTAATGACCTTAGTTTTGTCATCCGCTGTTAATTAGAAATGATTAAACGTAGAAGCTGTAACTGAGCAATGACCCCGGAGACTTATTGTGGCAGGCGAATCACACTTCGGTTTACATTCGCAGAACGATTCCTTTTTTTTTTTAGCCAGGCCTGTGGATCACAAGCAAAAATCCGACAGATACACGCCTCATAAAACTCCCGCTTATGAATCTCTGCCATTACGCGGCACGTTAGTTAAGCGAGGAAAACTCAAACCAGGCCGTCAAACCAGCCGTGGAAGACGGTCGTTACGTAAGCAACACATATTGCGCGCAGATTTCCAATTATTAGCCATGGTTGAGGCGTGTTTCCTAGATGAGGGGAAATAATTATGTAGTTTGATGCAGGTCCAAGGGTGTGGAGATGTTTGCTGAAGCCACGGTAGTTTTTCTGCCTTTGACTTTTGCTGGCCCCTCTTGGCCTGGAGAGTGGTCAGGAAGATCGTAAAACTGTGAAGCCAGCGGATATGGTGCAGCTGTACAACCCAGAAACCGAAACAGTGTAGCTATTAAAAACCCCACAAGCGGCTGCGAGGAGCCCCTCCCTCACCTCCAGTCCACACGGGTGTAGAACCAAAATGGCTTCTGTCAGGTACACAAAGGGACAGTGGCATAATGACAGAGGGGGATGCTGGACTTCTCGTTGCCAGTGAGCTTCGGGCTTATCGCAGTGGCCCAGGTACCAGGCAGGATGGGGTCTGGGGGCCTGGAGTTCAGTATGACGTACAAACCGCAGAAGTGAAAGAAAAAGGGAAAAATTAGAAACATCAAGTAAATTTCGAGCTGCCTCTAGAGCTGTGTTTCCCAATCCGTTCCTCGCAGACTCACAGTCAGTCCACATTTTTGCTCCCTCCCAGCTCCCAGTAGAGAGCAAAAACATGGACTGTCTCTGGATCTCCAAAGACCAGACTGGCTAGAGACATTTGAGATTTTCTTTTTGAGACTACCTGAGATTTTCCCTGGACATATAAGCTTAATTAAGACGTCACATATCTGTCCTCGACTAACAGAACATTTGTTTTTAATTACTGCAGTAATTTTTGGATAGTTGATTAAATCAGAACAGAACTGTCTCCTCCGATCAGTGGAGCGGCCGTCAGCCCCAAACAGATAAGAACTACCCTTCTCAGGCTGGTGATTTGCCACTGCCACATGGGGACGCTGGCCGTACCATCAAAATTAGCAGGCCTACAGTCAAGAGAAACACCCCTCCATAGTTTAGGGGTGTCCCTCCCCACCGGCCAAAGGTTTCCCAGGTTGGCTGGATCTTGAGGAGAGCTTTATTCCCCAGCTGACATGACAAACCCCATGACAGATCCTCCAGCAGTCTCTCCCACGCGGCCTTTATACCGAGAACATCAAGACTCACAACGCACGCCTGATGGTGGGAATGTCTTCCCTGACAGATGCCACATCTATAAAGCTCTGAGGAGAAAGAGACCCTTTGATCTTTTTGGAGTTGCACCTTGTTCCGAAGTTCAAACATTTGACACTCTACATACACAGCTATAAATGTCTGTCTATTGGAAGAAACGTAGACATCAATCTTGCCACAGTGTGCTAAATACTATTAAGGCTACAAGACGCCAAAAACAGCTCCTGCCTGATGCTCTGCTCCTTGTTCTGGTGTCTCAGCGCGTTTACGGAAAACCACCCAGGAACAGAGGTGCACAGTCATTTATTCATGCCGGTGATTCTCAGAAACCGCACCGTGTCTCAGTCATTCCATGTGTGTTATATCTCATCTGCAGCTGACTGTCACGGCGGTCATTATTTGCCTCAGGTGGAACCTAAAAATGCATGGAACGACTAGAGATCTTCAGAGACTTTGGGAATCTTCTAGATGATGTCCCCACACTGCTTGGCGGACGTAACTCACATACAGCCACCTGTTGTGTCCTACTGTGGTTCTCCACTCACCTCTCCTGACCTTCTGTGTGGCTCAGCAGCTCGGACCTCATCCCTTGTCCTTCTGGGATCATTACAAGATGAAGGACGTGCCTTAAGTTCAATGAACTGCAGAACCCGAGGGGCAAAGACAGACCACCATGCCTTTCACTCAGAGAAGTGCTCCGACACACAATGGATAATTTGTCCTGAACATTCTATGAGCAGGCAACATGGGCAGGAGACAGGAAACATGGGCAGGAGACAGGAAACATGGGCAGAAGAATCCCGATCATGTCCGGACCAGAGGGGGGTCAGGCCTGGGGGATACTGGGGCTCAGGACTGGAGATGCAGACCCTGATCAATGTGGGTAAAAGGTACAGATTCAGGAAGAGACTAGGACTTGGTAGACAAGCCCAATCTATGCAAAACAGCGAATAAGTGTAATCCGGTCCGAAATCACTGTAGACCTTCACAGAATCCCTTTTGGAAACACGGGGACAGGACACCTGGACAGGTACAAGAATGTTCTTCAGCCAGCGGAGCGTGACCACCTCCCCCCCAGCCTCGTAAACACCTGAGGCTTTTCTGAATGCCCTTCATCCTGACACAGCAAGGTCACGTCAGCACAAACACTCCTATCGCAACATTCCCCAGAACGCCACAGGCCCTCAGCGGAACTTTGAAGTGGAATTAACTGAATTTTAATTTAATCGCAAGCGCCGGGAAGCTTCAGGGCCACAAAGTTGTGCAATGGCGGAGGTTACGAAAGGTCATAAGTAGCTACAGACCGCGGAGGCCTCCAGCAGATGGAGCTCAGGAACGGACTTAAAACCAAGGCGTCAGCATCTGAAGGGTGAGCAGGGCCTGCAGAGGACAGACCGATTTCATGCACCAGTACATCACCCGACCAACCAATCAATCCAGGGTCAACAAGCCCAAACGGATCAAAGTGAACGCAAGTGTTGCAGAAAGAGGTGACAAGATGGAGATTCTGAAGGGTAATGTAATGAAACTGACCTTCTACAGACACACAAGCACGTCTTTTATCAGACAGCTGCTTATATGCTTAAAGACAAATTATATTTTTATGGGGGGGGGGGGGCTTTCAAATGTGTTTTCCCTGTTTGAGGTAAGTGGTTGGAAGCTGGATAAGAGAACATGCCACTCGAAGTGCTTCTACTCCAATGAGGTGACAGCATCATCTAGGAGTGTAGCTCCCTTTGCCCTCCACCAGATGGCAGTCGATACTGGATCTACTGACCAATCAACAATTCCTGACTCTGGATAAACAGCGTGTTACCAGTGTTCCTGTTGGGGTCTTTTCTGAAATGATTGTCAGCAGTTGCAGTGGCTCACATCTGCGGGGTATTACTGCCACCTGCTGGCTGAGAAAATTACAGGCAGCAAACGGCAGAACACTTGCGAACTCTGCAGTATTGTCTCACTACACCTGCCGTTGTTTGTTGGGGGTGGGAGAGGTTGCACAAAGAAAGAGTTTTACCCATAACTGGGACTTCCTAATATAATACAGAAACAGCCAGATCATCCATGACCTATCAGGACAGACCAAAAGACAGCTGAACAGTGTCAAACATTTTATTGTCGAAAAACTTTCTTACAGATATGAACTGTACAGTTTAAAATTAAAACGTTTCCCCATTAAGATGTGAAAAGCACCTTTGAAAGTCACACAGCAGTACAGATGTACAGACTAGTGTTTACAGTTAACATTTACACGTTACCCTTGAGGAATATGATGGCACCCTCAGAGCCAAATCTCTGTTTGACCGTCCTATTACTGTTAACCACACCTGGTGGCGGTCAAGCTTTACGTAACTAATGTCGGCTTCGGCCAATGAAGCTCCGAGTAGATTTAAAAAAAAAACTGTGAGAGAGCCAATCGTAACATGTGTACTTTAATCTGCTCACACACCACTGGATGAGGGACACTAGGGACCGAGGAGTAGCAAAGCAGAGGTTTGTTTAGTAGAAGCTGTTAAAATCATCCAGGACACAACATTCCCATGTTCAGAAAGACCCCCACAAGCCAGCTGCCTGTACACACACACACACACACACACACACACACACACCAAGGTAGACAAAAACACACAAACTCCACACAGGCCAATCAGCAACTGAATGAGATGGAGCTTCATTTGCTGGGCTGACAGAGGGCGGGGCTTGTCCCTGAGATTGACAGCAGGGGGAGTGACTGTTTCATGGCTGGGCATAATCTCCCAAGGTGAGCAGATGCAGTGGCAGGCGACTCGGGATAAATGGCAGCTGCGTGAAGAGTGAAGTGCAGCACAGAGGAGAATGCGGCACACAGGCCAGCGTTCAGGCACAGGAATGGCAGGCGTTCAGTGCTGGTCACAAAGCAAACAGCTCGCCGGCAATGAAGCATGTCAGCCTGAAACGATGACAGCAAGGCATCTGTGAGGCTGGCAGAAGCCGTATAGGAATGTCACACAGCCCATTATGCTTGCCTGCAGGGGGAGGCTTCTGGGAAATTCAGTGGAAAGCATGAACGCCATCAGCTTGGTTTAAAAAAGCTTAACACAGAAAAAAAGTTTAAAAAAAAAAAAAATCCGGGAAGAGCTTCACAGAGTGGAACCTGCATTGTGTGTCATCCGAGCGTGATGGATATGGAGAACGGGCAGTGGGCTCTGCCTGCCATGAGGAAGGAAACACAACGGAGCCAGAGACCCAATCCGGTCCTCAGGGAACCACAGACAGTCCACAATTTTGCTCCCTCCCGAGCAAAAATGTGGGCCGTCTGTGGTTCGCAGAGAACCGAGCTGGGATACACTGTCTTAAAAGAATCACGAAGGGGGCAGACTTTAGGGGGCAGGCTGGGATGAGAGCTGTACAAATTCCTTGTCTCAACTGACATGACCAGATTTCACTAACACCACCAATAATAAATTATAAAAAAAAAGACCCAAAAGTGATACACCAAAGGCCATTGTTATGGTCCGGAACAGGAGGCGGGGCTTTACAGTTCTAGCTCTCCCATTGGTGGGGCCAACCCGACACAAAGGTCTGGGCCTGTGTGCTCCACCCACTATGAGATCTTGCAGTTGCCCTTGGTATAGTTCTGGGGGGGGCTCTGGGGCAGCCGTGTGGATTTGGAGCGCTTCAGGCTGCTCCCCTTGCTGCCCCCGCCCCCGCCGCCGCTACCCCCGCTGGCCAGGGAATACGAGCGGCCGTGCATCATGACCGCGTTCATGCCGTTGACCATGGAGAAGGACTTGAGGTGGCTCTTGATGGCCACGGGCAGGGGCAGCTTGTCGATGAGGTGGACGGGGGTGCAGGACACGATGGCGCGGCAGCACAGGTCCTGCAGGCTGAACACTGGGGGGGGGGGGAGGGTAACCGGAGGGTCACACACCCATGTCCATCCGAAATCATTCAAGCAATAGAACAATCCTACCCATAATGCACTGTGTCAGAGTATTAGCCACACTCTCACAGGACATCCTTTACAGTATAGAGGTGATAAAGAAAAAACAAAGACCTAGCAAAAGTTCCCCCCCGGGATAGACCCACTATACCACTGATGGAAGTTACAGCATTACTCATTAAGATTACGTTTAATTAACATTAGAGATTAATTAAGACTCCAGCGCTAGAAAACCACCCTGATTGGCACAAAGAGACATTGACATAAACCGCCTCCCACTGCAGCCAGAAATCTCTAGACCTCCAAGCACTACTGGGACCGCAAGGTCCAGACCCCCACCCCCACACATCATCACACTGATGTAAAGTTTACCTAATTCAGGAGCCAATCACTCACCTGGGATCAATAGTAATTTAAATCAATTTCTCACAGTCAATTACTCAAACCCCTTCTGTCCTTAAGTCCCACTCTACAAGAAGGGGGATAGTTACCCCCCCAGTCCACGTACAAATCAGATGCGAGGTAAGCACACCGCTCACGAGGAGCAGGGTGGTGCCACCAGGTGAAGGCAACATGGACGCCGGTCTACATCTTCGGCAAAGATACAAATACAGACAGAGACACACGAGACCCGGTTTGGGAGCTGAAGGGGCTGGAGATACCTCGGTTGGGCCTCCAGAACTTCTCCATGCCATGCCTCATGAGCACGATGCGGGACAGCTCGGTGAAGGACTCGATGACATTGAAGTTGCAAAGCGGGCTGACCTCGAAGAAGGTCATGGCGTTCCGCTCGGCGTAGGCGCGAGCCTGCTCCGTGGGCACCCGCCGCTTGAACGCCAGGTGCAGCCGGTTGCCCACCAGGATGCGCGGGACCCCCGGGGCATGCTGATCGACAGGGGGCGGGGCTGTCATTTGGGGGGCGGGGCACAGGGAAACAAACACCCACCACACATAGGACAGGCGGGAAATAAACCCACCCAAAGCTCTTTCCAGAAAGGAGGTAGTGAGGTGGCCATAGGTATTCTAGCGGTGGGGGCATTTTCCTCTAAAATGAGGATACTGCAGAGACCATCACCCCTTCCTCTAGGGGGGGTTTGTATGAGGACCTCTCCAAACAGGAAAAAAAAAACAGTGCCCCTACCTCATCGATCTCCCGGATCCAGCGGTCGATGCCATCAAAAGACCAGCGGTTGGTGATGTCATAGACGAGCAAGATGCCCTAGAGGAGGCAGCGTGTGATTTACTGATCCGGGGCTGACGGCCATCAGCAGCCTTAAAGGCACGGCGCCCATTTAAAGGTCACACTCTGGCTGGAACAACAGAATTCAGGAAACATGGAAAAGACAGCACACACACAGACACACACATGGGGGTCCTCACCTGCGCGCCGCGGGAGTAGGACCGGAAGATGGTGCAGAACCGTCCCTGTCCAGAGGTATCCCTGGGGGGGAGGGACAAACCACCATGACCCCCATTTCCTCCATTTTACTCACACAGACCTCTTTTCACTCGGAGGCTGAACCGAGATGGCATTTAGCTGCAGGTCACAACCACCCTCAACGGGTGTCGACCAGCACTACATTGTTGCTATGACAACAGCGTTGTCTAAGCGACAACACAAGAACACAAAGAGCCGACCGAAAGAATCCGTTCGCAACATGTCAGCCAGCATGCGAGAAGATCCGGCTTGGTAACTTCATCTCTATCTGTCCACAGGAGGGCTCAGCTCCTGTCCAGGACAGTCACCTGTCTTTCCCCTGTGGTCCTGCACCTTGCATGGACATTATTAAACTCCCTCTGCCTCCCTCGCACCAAGCAGCCATTTGGAGCTCGTGAAGGTGCAGCGATATATACACTGAGCTCCAGGAAGAGCCAAAGAGGATATTAGAGAAATAAATGAACAGACCATCATGATACAAAGGTCAGTGTGAACAGAATCAGCCCAAAGCCAAAACAAATTGCTCTGGAATATTACAGTATCTGCACAGAGGTCTGGTTTAATTTACGGTGTCCTTGAAGGGACACACAGCACCTATCCTCAGGCTGTTTTTTTAAAATGGTTTGCACACACTGAGCATGTCATAGACGGGGTCCTACCACAGCTCCAGTTTCACCCGCCTCCCATCCAACAGGATGGTAGTGGTCTTGTAGTCGATCCCTGGAAAGGAAAAGAAATCATGACGACTAAAAAATAAGGAAAAGACAGAAGTGGAGAGTTCAGGTTCAAAGTACAAATCCAGACCAAGATTTTGTTTCAACCAACCAGTTGAGTATAAAGTCACAGTCACAGAGTACTCAGCTGGTTGGTTGAAACAAAATCTTGGACTGGATTTGTACTTTCTAGACCCGAACTTTCCTCCTCTGGGAAAAGGCAGGACTGGTCACCTTCAGTCTGCCCATCCAGTTCAGAGAGCGCGTCAAAGAGGCCCCCACTAATTGCCGTTGCTTAGCACACCTGTGAGACCGGCTGTCATCGGGGTATTTATAGTACCGTCTCAAACACCTTGTGACGTTTCAGACAGTTGTCACGGTAACAAACAGTGTTCTCTGCCACATGGCCTAATGAGGATTTCCCAGCTTCTGCCAGTGAGATGAGTCAGAGTCGACTTTCTGTCATCCCTGGTGCCTCACAGGAAGTCATATTGCTGCTTTTGACAGGCAAGTGGGCAACCGCTTCACAAATAAACACAGAGCAGGAGGAAAACGAGCGTGTTAATCACATTTATTTATTGATACTCTGCTGTAACAATGCTAGGATCAGAGCTTTATTATTATCATCATCATCATCATCATCATCATCATCATCTTCAGCAAGAACAACAATAATAAAGATGTCCCATAAAGTCTTGCGAGAAAGAACTGACAAAAAGTCAGTAAGGGATTAAATGTGTAAATTAAGAAATATCGGAAAGGCTGAAGTATTGCAAAGACTTTACTTTGAGTAACACACTGAGCCACAGTGTGGCTGTCTGGCAGGGTTTAACTTTCCATCCTAATATGGCCAAAAATGCACAACTCATCCAATAAGAGCAGTCTAAATTCTTCACGTGTACACCAAAAACAAATCATACCTATGAGCTGTAAACACTCAAGTACATACTGAAGGCAACGTCATCGGGCCAAGTGAGACGTTAGTACAGCACTGTGACCGATTAAGTAAGCAGATCTCGCTGAAGCTGAGCGACACAATCAGGAAAGGACACGCAGGAAGTGCATGAAACGAAACCAAACTAATTACACGCGTGTTTTATTTGAAAAATCTTGCACAGACAGCGCAAAGTGGCACCGAGCACAATACAGCTCCACAAGGGGGGGATGAGCATCGGCAATGCTTCCACTTCCCCACCCCAAAACACATTTACCCCGTGAGGATGATGATATACCAAACGCCAAACACCTGATCCCCCACAAGCAAGCGCGCTTTGCCTCTCAGTGGGGCATCTCCAACAATTATGTCTGGGTCCCGACCATGGTCGTAAATTACGGGGGAATTGTAGCCGCCCCCATCCCCCAATAATCAAAACAAGCCAATACAACCCCCTGGACCTCCTTAAATGGGTGGAGACCCCCCCCCATCACATGCATTTACTTTATACAAAATGCGTGGTTGGTCACATGCATCAACACACACGTCACACCGTGAAAAAGAAATATGTGCATAAAAACTTGCGAAACGTGGACCGGAGCCTAAGTGTCTGAGTATGGCGGCCACACAGGGGATTAGGCGGACGGCACGGCGAGGTTAGTGATGCCACAGAAACACGGTGCAGCCGTCGGAACAAAGCCGTCCTCTCCAGGAGCCCAGTAATAAACGGCGTGATAATTGTCAAGTGCCTTGGGGCAACTGTGTTGTGAAGGGTGCGATATGAAAATAGTGAAAGGGCAGTGAACACACACGCGTAAGGTGCCTGTCACTGTGCGAGATCCTCACCGCTACTGTAGGCATAAGGGGACTCGGCCGCACTATCCTGCAGGCTGTCCAGGATCTCCCTCTTGCCCACATCGCTGTCGCCCACCAGCAGGAATTTCAGCAGGTAGTCGTAGCTCTTGACGGGGCTCCCCTGCGTCCCCATCCCGTCTGCCATCCCCCGGAGTGCAAGGTCAGGCTGTCCTCACCCGCAGGCGCCCCGAAGGCACCAGGGCAAGACAGAAGCAGCGCATCTGCGCTTAGAAACCTCCGTGAAAACCCCAAGCCTCACTGCGCGGAAATGATACAGACTCTGCGCAAAAAATAACAAATAAGTCGAATAATTAATATACCAGTTTATAAAGGCGGAAAGTTCGCATTAAATTGTTTGATTTACAAGCCTACGGTCATATAGTGCCCTAAAAACTCAAAAAATAAATACACAGTTAAAAGCCAATAACTAATTAAACGAGTCCCTAGTGGCTTGGATCGCACCTCCCGATGTCGCTGCCAAGCAAAAAGCGTGGTTGATGGAAAAAAAACAAGCGGGGAGGACGCGGGCGGACTGGTCCTCCAGCCGCGGTGAAGGTGCCTCCTCGAACCTCACACCACACACCTCTTCAGGGAAGCAAAGTGGCAGCAGCTTTCAGGTCGGCCGGAGACAAAGAAAGGGGAGGGGGGTCTGCTCCTGTATGATTCCGGAGACACGGGATCCAGCCAGAAGCAGGCATCAGACACCACGGAATCGGCCGTGCGACGCGGGGAGCCGCCGCTGCTCCCGGATCTTAGGACTAAGCTGCGACTCCCTCCGCAGGGCTGCCGACCGGACTGTTGCCCGTCTCACCCGCCCCAGGGGGCGCAGTCAAGGTCCAGCGCTGCCTCAAGCGTATTCCTCGCTTCTCGACACGCTGAATCAGCGTTCACCCTCCGGTTTATTGCCAACCGAACCCGATCTGGCAGAAAAAAAGTGCTAATTCCGGTACTCAGTCACCCCGCTGTCTTCCCACGCCGAAGCGACTTCTGTTCACTGTCACGGCACGAGGACCGCCCCCTTGGCAGACAAGCCCCGCCCCTTCTGCTTCCAATTGGTCAACTCTGTCCATTAACCACCCCATGATTGGTTAGTAGTGCTGGCAATCAACCGGAATGACTTGCTTGCGTTTCTGACACAGACGTGTTGGAAATCCGCGGCGCTTTATTTTTCTCACGATATTGTCGACTTGTATGTGTAATGTTTTGCTTCAGGAACAGCATCTATACGAAATATCATTTACACATACGAAGGAGATAAGTTGATACGCTATGGAGAGTTTAATACACATGTTGATTGATTCACTGCATACTACGGATACGTTTCAAACGCTAACGGAAGGTGAGGCAGAAGGGGTTAATGACTTGCGTGCAATAGATCGCAGGCACTCAGGTCAAACCAGTTTCACCCAGAAAAAACCTCACACCGAGCCCTACTTTTCCTTTGTGGGTTTCCTGTTGCCTCCACAAAGGTTTAGTATCGGAAAGTAAATCAATTCATAAGGAAATCATCGCAGTTATTCCTATAAAGAAACCATTAGTAGCATAAAATGTATTAAATTGAAGCAGCTGATACAATACGTACGGTGATATGGTGCAGTTACTCTACCCTGTCTCTACACAAAGCAGAATATAGACTGACACCACACCAGGACTCCAGGAGAGTAGCATCTGAGTCCCCTGGGACACATCAAGTGGGTTTTCTCCTGAAAGGGTGGACAGATCATGGTAATGGACAGCGGGCTTCAGCACTTAAAGCTAAATCTCACCATGGGGAAACCCTCCCAGACCAGATTAAAATGCAAATGGGTATCACTTTCCTTTGTGCAGGCCCATTAGATTACAGAAGAGGCAACCATCTGGCTAGGGGGTTTCTAGCCATTAAAAAGCTTAGGCAAGATCACACTCGGCCAAAACGTGCAAAGCAAAATCACACACAAGAATACTTCTAATTCCATACCATTCCAACACTCAGCGATGAAGACAAGCCATTTGATCCCAAACAGAGAAGAGAACCAAAATCAATCATTTCCCGTTTCACTGCATTCAGAGGTTTTTGTGGGTTTCACAGATAAAACGCGATTGTTAGAAACACAGGTGGCAGCAACTGATGGTGTATATATTTTAAATTAACATATATTAATGAACTTCAGCCTCCAAGCAGCCCACAATTAGACACAACTGTGAGCATGGGAAACCTCACTCAAGCTAAACATCAGTATGCAAAGCTTGTCCGGCTTATTCTCGGTGCAGGATGTTTCTCAGATAAATTCCTTGATCGGAGCTTCTCATGAGAAACCTGCTCCTTCCATTTGCCCAAAATGAGGAAAAAATTTTATAAAATATATAATAAACAGATCATAGATTTATATACACATTATAGAAAAAAAAGATCCAGAATAAACTTTTTCTTTCAGAAATTTTTATTTATGTCCACCAAAGTCCAAGGGGGAGGGAATCAATCTAATTTACTTTATCATCAAAATTTCTAATCAAGTAGGAATTTTTTTCACAAACAGTCATGGTCATATGACATTTTGATTTCTATAAGACATTCTTTAGCATGTTTGAATGCATAATGATTGGTTGACTAACAACTGCACACAAAACAGGAATCTGTCATTGAATATTCATTAATGAAAAAAAAACCACACACACAGCTGACTCACTTCTTGCGAGTCAGTTTCAGAGCTGTGGGTGGCCCTGTCAGCGAACTCCATCAGGAGCTCACAGCAGGTCTGTATGGGAGCCCAGGCTTTACCAAAGGAGGATGGAATGCAGCAGAACCAACATTCAATCCTTAATAATCAAGTAATAAAATTAATGAATCATCTCATTGGTTCTAGCCAGTGGTTCTATGTCCCTAGAAAAATCCAGTATTTCTGGAACAAATGCTTCTCCCTCTTGCACTTTTAGTACAAAAGTCATTCTCAAAAGAAAAAACCCCACTAAAAATCTAAACAGAATATTCAAAAAGATGGAAATAACTTTTAAGTTAGAATTTGGCAAAATGCATTTAAGGTTTAAAAACTAGACAGTGCAGCAGTATCCTGTTATGTAGATTCCCACTATGAGTGATTGCCAGTGACATCACACTGTCGGGATGGACAGTACTCATTCCACTAGAAAGAGCCAAATTAAAAAGCCCATCTGGGACAGCTGACAGGACGCCTCGCAGCCAGGGGTCCTATCAGTGTTTGCTGGTGTTTTGTTGCCTGCTACCCCCAGGGCCGACCTGACCCCCTCCCTGAAAGGGCTCAGTCGGCCTTACTGCCCTTGTGCCTCCAGGGATAGACCAACTCCCCCACAAAGAGCTTCTTGCACAGGGCCCACCAGGAGTCTCTGGGGTAGCAGCTGTAGGTCGGCATTCTGTAGGACTTCAGCACTTTGCTCAGCTTCAGCGGGTTAATCTGGGAGCAACGAGAGATGGAGACAAATCTCAGTCCATACCTGTGTCTTCCACCAAGGCACCCGGCACAGCAGCCAGTCAGACATGGATAAGCCCCTCCCCACCGGCGTCCACGGCACAATAAGCCCCTCCCCACCAGCGTCTACGGCACAATAAGCCCCTCCCCACCAGCGTCCACGGCACAATAAGCCCCTCCCCACCGGCGTCCACGTCACAATAAGCCCCTCCCCTCCCCACCAGCGTCCACGGCACAATAAGCCCCTCCCCACCGGCGTCCACGTCACAATAAGCCCCTCCCCTCCCCACCGGCGTCCACGGCATGATACAGCATTCCAATTGCTGCTCCATCGACTCAAGCTCTTAAGTTGCCCAGTGATCATTTACAAGTGACAGTTTTTATGTCTGAATAGAGCCGCCTTTGTTGTGGCGCAGAGGGAGAACTTACCTCCATCATGAGATGCAGAGGCTTCCCCGACTCCTTGCACAACACCCTGAACTTCACACCTTCTGTGGAGCACATTGACAGGCGCGCACAGGAATTAATGCCTCTTCTGTGATGTCGATAGGATTCACGCCCAGAGCAGCCTTTCTAAAACTGTCGCTGAGGTTGCTGTCAGACCTCATCGGCATTTCCATGCAAACGTAAGCAGAGCCATGACAGCTCAGGAATGATTTACAAGTAATACAGTAACCATTCTCTAGAATGCCGTCCCATTTACAAATGCCAACATAGAGGTTAGTCATCAAGAAGATCCACGCCCAAGAATTCACCGTTATTATTTTTTAATTGCCCGCAAAGGTCAGCATACTTAAGTTGGCATCACCCGTCCGCCAAGCAAGAAGCCAAGTATTTGTCCTAAAAACACAAGCGGCTAAACCTGACGCGGGTGTCACCGCCGGCTGCTTACCAGCCAGTCTGTAGGGGCGACAGACCCGCAGTCCCACAGCAAACAGCGGGAAGGAGTTGATCAGGTCCACGCTGAGGTGTATCACACCCTGAAACAGCACCACCACCAGGCGGAGCTGTGAACAATGGGGACATTAGGGAGATGTGATGAATTCTCACCCATATTTCCTACATGTTGTCCCCAGTGCAAACAATGTCTCAGAGCGATGTCCTGTATGGTCTACTTTGTTCTGCTGGCCGTACTAGCATGTGAAAACAAGGACTATAAACTGACACAAATTGCTCTTTTTGTCACTAGACAAAAATAATAGCAAATACTATATTCATATGTAAAATTTCCTATGGTCCAGTGTAGATATCAGGTAAGACTCTGGGCAGTAAACAAGTTCTGTTGTTTCCTGTTCATATCTGTTGACAAGGCTCATGTGACCTGTGAACCCAATTGCTCGCTACGCCCCCTGGTGGACTCACCAGAGTGAACACCAGGTAGTAGAGTGCCGATGTGGGCAACAGGAACAGCAGGATGGTGAAAAGCAGGGTGCCAATGAACAACTGCAAGACCAACAACGCTGATTTGTCCCCTGAGTAAATGCACATTCTGCTGCTGGAATAACATGACCTCTGACCCCCCCCCAAAACCCATTCAGTGATGCGATGAGAACTTCATATGATCCGTAAAGCAGAACCCGTCATTGAGACACACAGCCGACAGTGGGCACCTGGTCCAGGTCGTAGGAGCACGAATCAACACGCTGCCTCAGGACGTTCCACTTCTTCCCCCTGAAGAGACGCCACAGCGCCGACAGCCCGTAGATCTTCAGACAGTACAGCCTGGGGAGAAAACCACTCTTACTGCCCTTAGTCTCCTTCTGCTGCTCTCCACCAGGTTCTTCATAACCAGGATTCATATAGCAGTGTGGTTTTTTTTTTTGAGAAAAGGTGCGATGCTATTTAAGCGGGTTAATGTAGTGTTAAATAAACAACACCGCAGATTCCACTCATCCCTGGGGAGGCCTGTTAAGCTAAACCCACACGCAAGGAGGTTTTTGCAGAACAGGTTCTTACCTCGCTCCGTACACATAAAAGCAGTAGATGTGGAAGGTCAGCAGGGCCACGATGTCGGACAGCACTGACAGGGCGAAGGTGAGCCCCAGGCAGGCCGTGAGTCCCAGGTACCACAGAATCATCTCGATGAAGGGTGACAGGAGGTGGATATAGCCTGAACGGGACACACCAAACACGACGGCGTTCAGAAACAGTAGGCCGGAGCCTTCGTGGTCCGGCTGCGATGGCGACGGCGTGGCCACATCACTCACTGATCCACAGGTGGATGTGGTAGAGGAAGAAGCGGCCCAGCACCTGGTCCAGAGCCCGGTTCATCTTTAGGCCTGCTGGTACTCCCATCAGCCACTGCAGGAGCTCCTGGAGCTCTTTGGCAACATGCTATGATACACGCAGAGAGAGCGGCCAAGATACGGGCCCCAGGGGAAAAAAATCAAACTTCAGACAGTTCGTTTCTACTGCTCCATCTATGAACTTACTTTGCCTGGCCTACAGCTCTGCCTGATAGATGCATCTGGAAGCATCAGAATAATCACGAGTCAATGTGAAGTGAAAGTGCACTTACATCTGCCGCTGGCACGAGAGTGTTAGCCAGCCAGCCAATCCGGTTCTCTCTGTAGAGCCAGGAGACAAGCAGGAGACCAAGCGCAACATCCAATAGGAAGGACACGAAGATGTTCGCTTTTCTGCGAGAAAGAGCATCACTTTTCACAAAGCTACATGATTCAGCACCTCTGTCTCCCAGTTCTGTTTCGTCTACTATCAAGTACGATTCCAGTAAATTAAGTACAAATTAACCAACATTAAATGCTTGAAGAGGAAGGATTGGTATAATATGAACTTCTCAGGAGATCAGAGGAACGGGTCCTAGCGAATCAACAACCCATCACCCACCTCATGAATTCTGTGTGCCGCACAGCCCTCGATGGGGAACTGATGGTCTGAAGATGGTCCGTTCTGTAACTCAGCTGGACGCAAGTGGACAATTTACTGGACACGAAACGCACAGGCCACACGTTCAAGATGCTACAGGGAGGAGAGAAAGAGAGTAACTACTCAATTTATTTATTCCCATAAATAAAGGAAATACTTTGTAGCATTTAATAGGACAGCTCCTGACTGAGGATGAGAGAGACAGCATTGGGTGTCCTCCTTACAAGAGAGCAAACAGACTAGCTGCTTGGCTGAAATAAACCAATGCAGCAGGAGAGGGGATCCCTGAGGAGAGACGGGGATCCCCCTGGTGCCAGGTGGGGCGACGGCAGCACAGTGCGGGTTCGAGTCTGTCCACACCTGGCGTTCAGCAGCCGGTTCCAGAGCGACAGCATGCAGGTGAACAGAAGGCAGACAGGGACAGAAGCCTGCTTCACGAGCTCCGCCACGATGCTGGCCTCCCGGCCGTCCGACTGCCAGTGCGTCAGCTTCAGGGGCCCATCGTCGTACCGGTCCAGGTGGTACAGGGGTTGGCTCTGAGCCACGGTCCAGAAGAGCTCGTGCAGCTCCGAAGGTCCCGCCTGGGCGCCCGGGTCATGCCCGTCAGCATCGTGCAGCTCTGCCAGCATGACCTTCCTCTGGTCATAGTGGATGAAGATCACCTTGTCTTCTGCGTCACAGTCAGTATCATCACCTGCACCCTCTGGGGCAGGAGGCGTGTCTCTGCGCACCACCTGACAGCTGAAGCCCCGCCTCCCAACCTCCCTGCTCAGCTTCAGCCAGCGACCCCGGGGGAAGATGGCGCTCAGGTCCTCGAGGAAACTGTCCATACCCTCCTGGCCATCCTTCGGCAGGCTCCAGGAACCCAGCACTGCCAGATCCACCTGGGTCTGGCTTCGCAGCTCTCCCAGGTAGTTCTTCACCTGCGCTGGGATGAACGGGAAGTGTATGACGGCCAGGACCACGGCAGACTGCTGCCCCGGGAGCCAGCGGCCCACCAGGAGCCCGCTATCTGCCAGGTTGCAGCACTGAGGGAAAAAGATCTTCAGGACCATGGCTCTCTGTGGCCAGTCACCAAGGGCAGACCTGCATGGTGGGGAAAGCAAGTGCATTTTAATACAAGACAGACATAGCCCTCTTTGAAATAGCAACTAAATAAATATGCAAGAGCTGTGAACATTTGCATGTTTTGCTCGTTGTGCAAGTTCTCGCGCATAACATAATATCTAAATATCATAACATAGCTAACAGTGACAGATATTGATACCTGGTTACGAAACTGCTTAGAACGTGTACTGCATAGCACGTGTTCCCTTGGGAAGCAAGCAGTACTGCGTGCATGCCAAAATGCGTTAACGCACTTTAGCTTAAAAGATAACTTCAGTTGGTAAGGAGCCCACCGACGGTCCCCCGGTTTCTATGACAACCGCACGCCACTGTGCCCTGATATCTTTACACGAGTAGAAGTAGAATTAAATAGTGCATTAATACATTTTATGGAGATTAATTCATAAATGCCCTTCCTTACTGCATCGTACTACAAAACTGTATGCTATTCAAAATACAGATTAGCCAACTAGCTAGTTAGCCAAATTAGCTAGTAGTAGCGGCCCTTGTCGCAAACCGAGCTCTACCCCAACTACTTACACCTTCAGCTTCTTATTAATTACTTAATTAATGCGTACCTGGTTAACGGAGGCCGTGACACTTTGTCGAAGAGTTTCTGGACTAGTCGGACCAAGCCGCAAAGACGCTAGCTAACCTCTCGTCTGCAAACACATTTAACCGAACCGCACCCAAATTAAGAAACCAAAAAACAAGTACCCAGCTCATGGCGCAGCCTTCCACGCTCGCCGAACGCGTCAGTCTGTCATATTTAATTATCCAGATTAAGATCGTGGCACGGCTACCAGCACAAGGTCCCTGTCGCCAGCTACGCAACTCTTACGGAAACCCCGCAAGATTATGCGAAATAAGCGTAGCGGCTGAACGATGAAGGACGACGCGCCGATACGCAAAGCGTAAGAATACGTAAAGAGCGTAGCGAAGCCTCCCTGCTTCTGCTGTAATGCTGCTTTCTTACAAGTGGTGTTCTCGGTTAGTTACATTGGCACGTGGTTCACGGTTTGCACCAATTTTGTTCAGTCATTCTGGTAAAATTGCTGCGCAACCCTTATATTAATACAGTCCCTAAATTATTAAACGTCCTGCATCTGTACTCCGTTGGACTATATTGTGTGTGACATCTAAACACCTCAACCACAAAAATTCTAGCTGAAATTATGCTCAGACATCTTGCACTGTGTTGCAGTTGTTTTCATGAACTGGTCACATCATTGGTGGTGTTCATTTCTATAGTATCTGATTCACTGTGTTCAAAAGTTGTATGAGCACAAGGAAATTTTTCAAATGTGCTGTATGCATCTCAAGGCCCCATACATGTACTCAGATTTTCTTTTATATTAATTTAATCTCAGGTACTGTTAATATGCTCAGCACTCACCCTTTCCGTGTTCCTAGGTGCTCTGCTGCTCCAGTGAAACGGACGACTGTCTCTAACAAGTGACAAAGCACGAAAAAACGCGGGCTGGACCGAGAAGCATGCTGTGGACCCTGATAGCAACCCTCACTGCCCTCATGATAAAGAACACTCTGTTAGAGCAGTGGAGATTCCCTCCCCAGTAGTCGTGTTTATCTAAAAGCACAACAGAAGGCCAGTGCATAGCATGTTCTGTGCTACAAAGGTGGAGTAGGCTGAACAAAGTGGAATTCCACACCAAGGACACAAAACAATGAGTGGTGACACTTTTCCAGAAAACACTTTTCAAAAAAATCCAAGAGATCTTTATTGTCAGCCCCTCAATTATCAGCCCACAATGTATACGACTGGGATTAAATCTCCCTGAGTCCCATGGTGCTACATTTACACATTACTTAAATGACATTTTACATACTAACATGTACACACTGACTAGACAATAGCCTTCACATTATTATTATTATTATTATTTATTCACTGCATGCTTACTGGGTGCTGTTGTGGCCTCACACTGTCGGGCCTGCAGCGAGGAAGGTTTAAATCCCTTTAGTTTGTTCCTGTTAAGTTTAAGTTTTCTTTCTGTCACGTGGGTTTCCTTACGCAATCCAAAAACACAGTTAAAATAATTAACGTATTGAAACTGTGCATAGTACATGACTTACTGTGTAAGCGTATGTGCCCTGTGATGGACCCCATCCGGGGTGCAGCCCAGCCGTGTGCCCTATGCTACCTAGGATGGGCTCGAAAACCACAGTGAGCCTGACCAGAATCGATGGATGGACGCATACCAAAATGTGAGGCACGGCAATATAGATGTCGCCTGTTAAACTACATTTCCCGAAATGCACCACAAATGGGCATCAATCACGGAAATGAGAACCGCATTCAACACATGCTTAGCAGTCAACACTTGTGTCGTGCTGCAATGTTAATAGCTAGGGCGCATGCAAAAGATATAAAGCAATGAATGATAAAAACGAACGGAACCATTATGTCGACGTTCCCACAAAGGATAACATTATATCGGGCTTTCAGGTCTCCTTCTTTGCGATGCGAAGCTTGGCTTTTTACCCATGGCGTGTAAGTAGTGTTCTGCTGTCTGTCCAGCATAAACCGTTAAAGCCCGGTTTTTTCGGTACGGGTTCGGTAATGTAGCGCTCTGTTCCGTCTCCCCAGAGCCTTGAGATGAAACTGCAGGGTGATGGATCATCAGATATCCTCGTAGAAATTCTAAAACAGGTACCGAGGCTATCCTGTTGCCTGTCCACAATGTTACGCATTGTCTTGGAGATAATAAAACATGCATTGTCATACACAATGCACATTGAATAGTTTTTTTCTTTCGTTTCTTTCCACAGACATGCTTTCATAAGCTATGCCGGAAAACACCCCCATCGGTTAAATACCGGAGACTGTTCCTCACAGAGCTGATCAAAAGGGTTAGAGAATAACTAGATTTCAAATTTTCCTCTTTGTAAATAGGATCTGTATTATTTGTGTCTTATCTAAATTTTTGTGCTTTATGTCTCCATAGCACGAAGCTACAGGCTCAGAGCCGTTGGACGATCTGTACTGTGCGTTTGCTGATGTATTGGGTTCGGAGGATGAATCTGTGTGCTACAAAAGCTATTTTCTGGTACACGTGCCAAATAATTACTTCATTCTTTACAGCAGCCATAACAGGCTCGGTGTTTTAAGTGAACGCTGGGTGCTGTTTTCTTCTCTAGCCAGCAGGGGACGCCATCAGTCTTTCTGAAAGCGTGGCCGCCATCTCCGAAGGTACCACGGGCCTGGTCACGTGGGAAGCCGCTCTGTATCTAGCGGAGTGGGCTCTCGAGAACGCGCTGATCTTCAAGGACAGGTAATAGAAATGGGAATGACACAGGCCTGTTTTTGTTTGTTTTAAACGGACTCTGATGTGTTTTTTTCTTACTGCTGTAGCATGTATTCTGTCTCACCTGCCCCTCACTCCCCATCCCCCACCCCCAGGTCCCTGCTGGAGCTGGGCAGCGGGGCAGGCCTGACCGGGGTCGTGGTGTGCCGCTCTTGCAGCCCTGCTCGCTACACGTTCAGCGACTGCCACCCCTGCGTGCTGCGCCGGCTGCGGGACAACGTGCAACAGAACGGCCTGGGGGCCCCAGGCGGCCCCCATGTGGCTGTGGAGGAGCTGGATTGGGCGGCGGTCACAGACGAGCGGCTGCAGGAGCTGCACGCCGACACGGTCATCGCTGCGGGTGCGAGGCACTCTAATGATGGGGGGGGAATGTTTCAGAAGGCCAGCCAAACCATTCTACCTGTGAATAGCTGCAGGGTGCTGTGTGGCTGAGTGGGCCAGGGTGCTGTGCCTATGAAGGTTGTTGGGTCAAATCCCAGGGTTGAATTCTCTGAGCAAGGCTCTTTGTAAATATCGGAGGGCTACAGCCCCCCCCTTTTAGAGCCAATATATGTAACAAAGACTGACTGGTTGCTCCTCTGGTTGTAGATGTGGTCTATGACCCTCACATCATCAGCAGTCTTGTGAAGCTGCTCCTCAGGCTTTTGCGGTGTCGGGTTCGAGTCCCCCCCGACATCTATATTGCCTCCACGGTCCGAAATCCCGATACGTACGACCGCTTCAAGAGTCAGCTGGGTGAGCTTCCGACGGAATCTGTCCGTCTGCCAACAAGAGCCGACCGGGAGATTAATGCAGAAACTTTTTTTCTCCCCTTGCAGACGGAGCGGGGATCCGGTATGAGGTGGTTGCTGGGCCCAGTTCACAGCTTTTTCCATACAGCAGAACCTCACAGATAGAACTTATCAAGCTGTATCTATGAAGCCAAACGTGTAATAAAGTATTTATTTACATTTTATATTTCCTGTGGAATGCTGGTCTTTTACTGGGCTGGAGGTGGCCCCCGGTGCTGGCTCCTATCACTGCAAGTCCTTCTGATTATAACCCCTGTCTTAGGATGGGGGGGGGTCTTCAGCTGGCAAGGAGAGGAAGCACTGTCTGGTCCCAGCTCTCGTCCCACCGCTGCTGCCTGCTCTCCTGTAAATTTTTCCGGAACCGGGCCAACCGGCCCTGCGCGTTGGGGAGATCTGACAGCAGTGACTGGGGGGTAGAGAGAGTCTTGGGGTCAAACTCTGACACTAACATACAAATACCAGTATAATGTTGAGTCTACACATTATAGAAATCCACATACCCCATAAAGAGATACATTTCAAAGTCTGATAACCTGTTCCGTTTCCACCCAGAAAAAACACCACAGTTAATGATTCTCAGGCTCTTGGCCTAGAAAAACACCCTCTCCCTTTGACTGATGCCCAAAAAATGCCAGCCAGATTCGCAAAAAGACCCAGTAAACATCTCCTCTGTCGCAGACTGTACCTTAATCTGCTGTGCCAGTTCCTCAGAGTCTTCGAACATGAGTCCATTCTCGTCGTGTTTAACGAGCTCATGGAGGCTGTGAGAGGCAAACTGGTTATTCACTGGCAGTGACAATCACAGTGACCCCCAAAACGAGGGTCAGCTCAGCCGAGAGGCTGCCATGCTGGCTGCAGTGAGGGGACCCACCACTGGAAGCGTACGGCGCAGACGGGAAGGCAGCAGCCGAACATGTCCACGACCTTCATGGGCAGGTCCAGGCCGCTCGAGGACGTGTGCAGGCAGACGCCCAGGTCAGCGGAACCTGAGAAAGCAGGTTGGTCTAGCTTTTTATCGGGTATCGACTCGTCGGGTCTGGAACCCAAAACCAAGACGTTCTGTCCGGCAGGCGGGAAGTGCTTACCGAGGAGGACGGGGTAATCTTCCGCTTCCAGCCACGGCGTGCAAATCTGCACGTGTGCAAAGCTTAACT